AGGACTTGTGTCGCTAAAGTCTCGTCGGAACGAATTTACGGAAAATTAACTAACGAACAGAGACGTAACAGTACAGATACAAATATAATTTTATTATTAGCTGGATTATAAATTAGTTTTGTCTATGATCAATAGAGCCATTGCAGTTTAACAGGATCAAAGAAAACGAAACCACAATTCCACTGAGGAAATTTGTTGCATGGGTCCCAACATAATACTCTTCCCCCCCACCCCCACCCCCCAAAAAAAACGTCAGTCTTCCGGTGCACAGTCTACATAACAGGGAACAGATCTTTCTGAAACTTATTGCAGGAATTCAAATTCGATGACGAGGAACCCACTTTGAGACTAATAATGGCTGGAGACGGCTGTTAAGCTTATATTAAAGTTTTCTTCATTACCCATTTAAGCCGTCTCCAGCCATTATTATTGCAGGAATGGTGAAATTGATTTTGCATCACCAAGGGCACCTCCTCATGCTACTGTATAGTAATACAGGCTATGAAGTGATAAAGCTGCGTCAGGAGTTTTCTCATACTACATCGAATAGCTACGGTCGGCAATTTATTACAGCCCACGTAGCTTAGATAAAGCCATTGCAAAAAGTGAAAACATCTGATATTCAGTCTTGCCCTTGATGAAAGCTGATTCTTTTATAGCTATACATGATTTAGTGAAAACTGAGCCAAGTCCCTACTTATTCTAAATCCTATTTTAATATATCTGCGAGGCATCACACGTCGTTTATTTCTCCATTTATTACTTCTGACTTTCGGATAAATCCAAATATATACTAGAGAATTTCGGATTGGTCCACTAAAGTTTGTACCGTATAGTGGCGTAGTGATCGTTGATTTGTGATTACTTTTAACAACCCGTGAAAGCGGTTAGCATATGACACTGACTGAACGGTTGAAGAAGTAGTAGATATGGCTACGAAAGAAGGAAGAGAGTTTGATTTGGTAGTGTTTGGAGCTACTGGTGTAACAGGACAATATGTTGTTGAGGAAGTTGCAAGAATTTACAAAGAAGAGAACATCAAGTGGGCAGTGGCAGGACGAAACGTTGACAAGTTAAGAAATGTCCTCACTGAGTCGGCGAACAACGTTGGCGAAGGTACTTGCCGTAACTTAAACTGCGTAGGCTTATTACTCAGCATTACTACTGCATTATAATATGTGTGGGGTAATACCATTCTGTAGGGCTGGACAAGAACAGACAGATCAGAAATGATGTAATAAGTTAGGGTGTTGGCATGGAAGAGAAAGCTAACTAGTTTAATAATTAGTAAGGCTTAGCGCTATTTGGATTTCTTAATATATTTACATTTACGTTGCTGTTATTATTATATTTTAGTGTTTCGTATTTTATCGTTAAGTTTTCATACATTTTTTTGTCTAACTTGTAAGATTAACTTGATCAGTTGATGATTAAGAACTTATTAAGTGTGTAGAGACTAGTAGTAGTAGTGACGGAATTGGGAACTAACACACAGTGTCACTATTAATGAAAGAAATATAGAAAGTTTTCTAATCAGACTTTATAGTTTTAAAAATATTAAAGTGTGTACGTTTTTAATAAGTTCATTAAATACTGAAAATAAAGATGAAGCCCAATACATCATTCATGATTCAGTTTAAGTTTAACACTGTCACAGAGTTATAAGTTGTACAGGCTTTAAGGAATTTGACTCCTTATCAGTAACTCTGGACAAAGGCAACTCAGAAGGACAACACCACACTTGATAGTAGTTGAGTGAGTTTGTGTGTGTTTTACATTTCTTTTACTCACTAAAGTGGAACTACACTTGTATAGCATTTGTAACACTGGTGTTACTACTTTATTCTTTGGGATTATTTAGTGTAGAAGCCGTTTAAAATACTAAAAATAAATATGAAACTAAAGCTATAATTTGATTCACTACTTGTCACTGAATTATAGAAATTCCACTACTTACGAAGGTTTTTAAATATTCTAAATCATTGTTACGTATTCTTAAAATTGTATAATGTTAAGACATACATTTAATGTTTGTTTACTAGAGGTAGCTAGTCATTGCTTCATATTTCCTGTACAATGTAGGAGTGAGGTTACAATATAGATACTAGTCAGTGAAGTATGTAATGTATTAATTTTGTATTCAATGAGTGGTTCAGTTTAATTGCTAGTTAGTGAGTTGGACAGTGAGTGTTGGTGCCTCTATGATTCATTTACTCAGTGAGTTAGTGTGTTTATTGATCACTTGGCAAAGAAACTCTTGAAGTAAGTTAGGAATACATTAGTTTGTCTTGAAATGCAGTTTGTGAATTTAGACTTGCAAATTAACATAGCCTATAGCAAATGTTATTGAAGAAATAAATTTAATTCGTTATTGTTACGTGGACTTTTCTCAGCCTTATTTTTACTAAGTAATCTGAAAGAACCAGCCCTATAATAGAACACATTACAACATTGTTGTCAGAAGTAAGATTATTTTGGTGAAAATAGAATACTTTGACTAAACTTGAACTTTTGAGATGTGAAAACTGATAGTGGGATCAAACTTTGTTGTGGTGATGAAATGGTTTAATGAAGGAAAAAATTAAAAGAAAGAAACATTGAGAATTAGAAGAATGAGCCAGAAAATTAAGACTAAGAAGAGACCTGAATTTAAGAATTAAAAGAAAGACATAATATTTATAGAACTAAGAACAAAACAAATATGATTTCAGACTAGATTGACAACACTGTTGGAAAAGTTTACAGGAATTGTGATAAGACTGGAGAAGTACAGAAAGGCTGTAATGACAAACTTGAAGTACATAAAGATATTAAAATATGCAGGAAGATTAACAGCAAGATCAGTGAGGTAGAAATGGACATCAGTGACAGAATAAAACATTTGGGAAAATAATTTGTTAGTTTCAAAGACCAGATAATATCTTTCTGCATCCACCCAAGAATTTCAACCTAAATTTACCACTACTGAATGTGGAATAGAACCTATTATTCCATATGTGTTACCACTGCTATTGTACCATCTGTGACTGCATGACCTTTCATAACTACTCCAACCAGGACAATACGAAAATTATACTTGCTATTTCAACATTATCATCCATTTGAGAAACCAATAGACCATGATGGAAAGATACCAAGGATGCCATATCAGGCTAAGTTTGAAATCATTTCTGGAAGGAATGGATGGAATAATGAATAACAAACTATTTGTCTTGCTGCCCCAATTAAAATAACTAGCTTTAATAATAACTATCAAGCATTGGTAGCTGTCTTATCCAACAGGATCAGAGTGATTTCATAAGAAGGAAGCATCCAAACAAAAATTTTGGAGCAGGATATGGAGGAAAGAAGACCTTATCCAAAATTGTAGAAGATTTAGAAAAGCTTGTCCAATTATCTTACCTAGATATGCCATGTGAAATGAATTTGTTGGTACTTCACCAATTTATAGATACAAAAACATATGAGGATATAAGAATTAGGTTGAACAAAGTAGGTGCCCACATTTTAAAGAAAACCAGTGGGTTATGGAACTTGAATCCATTTTAGTTGCAGACTAAAATTAAAAACAAATTGCAGTATCATCATATCCTGTTGTACTGAAACATCAACTCTTCTTGATGATAGTCTAGAATAACTGAATGTATTAGTTAGACAACTTGTTACATAGAGTAGAGGAAGTAAACCACAAGATAATTAGGTTATCAGGAATTGCAGACAAAAGCCTGTGTGGAATAAAAATATCCCAAAGAATGTCAGAAAAAAAAGCTGTTAAAAACGAGGGAAATGTGGATGTTAAATTGAATACGAGTAATCAACAGCTGAAGATAAACCAAAAGACAATACCTTAAGGATAAGTTTTGGAGCCAAACTAGAACAACAGAAAGCTAACCAGACAAGAGAAAAACAGGACTTGCTAGATGTGTCAGATATAGTTCAGTTGAGAATACTTCATCTGTCCAAAGTGTCGTAAGTTCATTACTTAAAGAAATCAATCTGAAAGTCAATGGGTATATTGATAGGAAGCTTTGCAATATGTTGATTGACACAAGTTCTACAGTTACAATAGTTTGATCCAATTTGTTAGTGAAATTGTCACTAGAGATGAACAAAACAGATTGATTTCAACATTAAGTGGACATAATTTCCAAAAAGAAGATAATTAGAAGTTACCCTTACTGTTACAAGCTTCTCTACACCTCATGAAATGTAGGTAACTGACATTGAGGAAGAGTGCATTTTGGGAACTGATTTCATGTGGAGACATGGGTGATAGGTTAGGTTAGCTTCACAATCTATGACCAAGAATTCCTGTGCACTTCATGACAATTACTACAACAGAGGTTGAATTTCCAGTGAAGATAAGGAGGTCAGTTATTGTGCTACCAAGAAGTGAAATACTCATACCAAAAGTTATTAGGAATAAACTTGCATCTAGTGATTGGGATGTAGTAGGATCAAAAACTCAGTCCTTTACTGATGGATTAATGATTGGAAGGACTCTTGTGGATCTGAAGAGTAATAGTTATCATTAGGGCCATAAACACAACAAATAATAAAAATGAAGTCTAGATATGACATTGGAAGATGTGAAACTACATCCAAGTATATTGGAAGTAGTTGCATTTGAGGCAGGATGTAAGTGTTATATCAATCTCTTGCATCAAGACCGCTTACCATTGTACAAAAGTTCTATAACTGAAGCTATAGTGTTCTTGCATGTGATTGGTGCCATAGCTTACATGGCTTGTTCACTAAAAATTTCCTGTACTCTTTAAAACTAGAGATAAGGTTACAATATAAATTCCAGAATTGATGAAGTATTCAGCAATGAGTATTCAATGAGTGATTTAATTCAGTGTGAGTTAGTACCTTTGTGATTGTTACTTGGTGAGTTAGTCAGTGTTTATTATTGATTGATTGGTAAGAAAGTTTATAAATTAGGCATACATTAGTTTCAGAGTTTCTATTGAAATATTTGAGAAATTAGGCTTCTAACTTGTAGTCTAAGTGAATGTAGCTTGTTATAAATGTTTTTGAAGAAGTGAATTAGTTTAACTTTGAATGGTGACGTTATTTTTGTCAAGTGATTCAGCCCAATGATAGAACACATTACAACAATAATTATTGGTTCATTATAGTGAGTAAGACAACCAAAAACAACAAATTTTAAACATTCTTATAAAAATATTATAAGCTTGAAATTAATATCTAATGTACCTTCACTGAACATTGGAAAATGTATGTTTGGCATTCCAAGTAACTTAAGAAAGATATTAAATGTAAGCTATCAAAACTTGGTCATAGCATGCACAAAAAAGTGTTTTGAAAGTAAATTATAATATTCAATAACATTTATGGTTCTGAATAAGAGTCAAGGATTTCTGCATTTTAATTTTAGAAGTCAAATGTTGATGGAATGTCATGCACTGACTTTCTCTTTTAAAGAATTATTTTAATAAAGCTTTCATTAAAATTTTTAACATACATTTTTTTATCAGAATTTTATAAATGGCTGGAAAAATTATGAAGTGTGTTCAGAGTGTAAATTACAATTTGTATCCAGAAGGATCTTTGGATGGAGTGAGTGTAATTCAAGTGGATGTAAAAGATGAAGATTCTGTGTATGAAATGTGCAAACAAACTCGACTCGTTCTTAATACTGTAGGACCAGTAAGTATTTTTAATGTAGTGTCACTTTTGTTCATGTGTGAAAAATTCTAATAATTTTAATCTTTATCTAAACGAAAGCTGTTTTATTCTGTAACATTGATTAAATTTTCAAATTTTAAGTGACACATTTATGTACAAGGATGTTAAATTATGAATAAAAGTAAGTTTTGTTTGTCATTAGTCATAATTCTAATGATAAAATATTCACTGAAAAATAGTTTGAGTTTTATTATCACAAATTGACACAATGTATCCTAAGTTGCTATGAAATCTAGATTAGAGTTTATAAAGACAATAATTTAGTGCATATCATTCTAATAGATGTACTTCTTAACCCTCTTATGTCATTTTAGTATGAAAAACTACTGTGAAGAAAGCTCCCAGTTTTAAAAACTTTGACTTGATGTACTTTCTGTATGGCATCCAACAAGATGGTCATGCTACCTTTTGAAAAGAAGTTTTTTTTTTAAACACGTGCTTTATAAAACTGCATTTTCAACCATAACACTTATTATATTGTATATTTTATTGAAATGGTTAATTTTTGATAATGTTATTTCAGATTAAGTGAAAATGCCAACAGTGCATAGTACCTAAATATCCAAATACCATGCATGTGGACAAAGATGTGTGGGTACTGGATATCTCAAAGTTGTATATGATCAACTAATGCATTGTTAAACATTTAGAATCAATGGAAGATATATTCGCTCATCAGTCACCTGTTGCAACAATACTGTGTAAATTTTTCCAGACATGTTAGTCCACATGACTCAGTATTGTTTTAAATGTTTGTAAGTATGTTTATGACAGTGTTTGAGCTTTAAGTGTTGTATCTAACTATCCAGTTACTCAAATGCTTGGTAAATAACCAAAGGAATTAACCATAACTCACTTTATTAGGCAAACATGTACTTAGTCAAAGTAAAAAGTTTGTATTTTATATTCTTTTTTGCTAATGCAACCTCTGGTGTCCACTAATGATTTAATAGTGAAATATTCACAAAATAAATACAAATTTAACATTAATCAGGCATCATGACCATTTGATTAGATAGAATAAAAACAAACCTGAAATGATGTGAGACAAGAAAAATTTATGTTTAGTTGTTATTTATAAAGTCAAAGGAAAATTTAACTTAGGAAATTCTACCTTGCAGTGAAAGTTGTAATTCAATTACAAATTGCTGAAATATGAAAAAAAAATAATTTATTACGATGGTTTAATTTATATATTTTTAGTATCACATTATCATAAATTTGTATTTTAGAATGGAGCAAATCCATATCCCGTTGCAGTATTTTGTTGCTGGTTGTTTTTTTACAAAGTATAATAGTTTTGTGTTATGCTGATTATAGATTTTGTTGTTTCCAGTCAGTGCTCCAGATTATTATTTTATTGTAAGGAGTAATTACTGGCAGAATTGTCTGCAGGAGTAATTTTAAATATTTTACAAAGTGCAGTAGTAACATTTTGTGATTTAACAAAACAAATTATGAATTATTATTTCAAAATGTGAAATTTGGCACAGGACTAATTTAGCAAATTAAATCAATAGATTTAGTCATAATAAATAGAAATAATGACATTTCAACTTTTATTTTTTACACAAAATTGGAGCATACACAAGTACACCAACAGAAATTTCTGGCAGTTAGTGGTTATTTTTACAGCTCTACTATGTGAAATGTGCAGAACTGCAGATAGCTACAAGAATGTGCTCATTAATTATCTTACTACTGTTAATGCAGCAGGAGCTGTATTCATTTTTCCACTTTAGTAAAACAACTTGTCAATTTTTTTATGACCTCTGCTGCCACCTCGTCCAGAGATCCTTCTCTTCACGATTGCTTTGCTTCAGGGATGGTATGCATATCCCAACAGTCAGTAATTCCAGGGTCTACTCATGGATGATGAGGCTTACCTACATAATGTATTAGTCCTTCTTACTCTTCAAAAGGCACTGCCTCATGGTCTGGGCTTATTAAGGGGAAAATTGTCAGGTATTACTCCGACAATTCGATGTTGGTGTCTTGCTTTTGCTGTCAAGGAGGCACTTGTTCCAGGGCTTCTTGTTTTCGAACCTTGGATCTCCTTTCTTTTGACCACTCCTATCAAATCCTACTAACTTGCTATGTTCCACGTGTGATGACTGCGGTAACAGATCAATTGTCTCGACCCAAACAGATTCTTCCAACAGAATAGATGCTGCATTGGAAAGTTTTCTGTTGGATTGGCTCTCATTTTGTAACACTGATTGGTGAGTTAGCCATTCATTAAAACACTCAACTACTGGCAATTTGGTCTCCAGTACCTCATCTTAAGGTTTTGGCAGTGGATGCATTCCTTCAGGATGCGATGAGATAACAACTCTACCACTTCCCTCCAATTCATATGTTAACTGAGGTACTAACTATGATGTGTTCTAACCCATTATTGGGTCCTGTTGATAGCACCGCAATGGCAGCTACACTCTGGTTTTTGTGGTACCTTCAGGAGTGCCCACCTCTTCCACTTACTCTTTGGCCATCTCTGAGGATGCAGAGATGGTATACCCTGCTATCCAGAATCTCAAACTTCAGGCATGGAAGTTATGCAGTCCTTTGCACGGCATCATCATTTAATTTCTAGGGTTGCCACATATCTGTATCAGTCTTTACTTAGTCCTGTGATGGACATTTATCAGTGGAAATGGCACACACATCGGCAATGTTGTTTCGAAGTGCCAACCATAACTCGTTTTTTGACCTAGCTCTTTGGCAAGGGTTTTGTATTGTCTACCATTCAATACTCGAGACAAGATTTCTTTGAGTCCCCAGCACTCTCTAGCTTCCTCAAGTTGCTTTGGGTCCTTTGTCCCAAACAACCATTCAAATTACGTAACTGTTATATTTAGTTTGCATTACGTGCCCTTTTCCAGTACCTGTTTGTGACCTCAGCCTCATATGCAATGTATCACCTTTACCTGAAGGTTTATTTTTAGTTTTAGCTGACTTGGACATCTTTTGTCGGAGTGGTTTGGGATGATTGTACACGGGATGCTTTACCATTCTACCTATGTCCTCACACTGGTTCTTCTTCCTTAAGACACTGTCAGCCAGGGAAGAGGATAAATCCTTTTCACCAGTTCATCTGATCACTATTTCTTACTTCTATGACCGATCAGATTTCGATCGTTTGTCCAGGGTCTTGAAAGTTTTTTTTGCCTGCACTAATGCCTTTAGAGATGCTAGACAACAACTGTTTATTCATTGGCATCATTCAGTTTTCCAGGATTTATCCCCAGTTACATTGATGAGGGGGTATGAAATTGTTCTGTATCAATTATTCTGGGCTCTCTTTGAAGGCAAGGAATCTTCTGAAGTTTACTTCTAATCAGATTAGTCACATTTCTATGTCCTTAGCAGCCTGATTGAATTTCTTGCTGGAGGGCATTGTGTGGGCTGATATGTGGACCTCTCCCAATACTTTTATCTCACATTATTTGTATGATCTGGCAGTATCTTAATCTGGGGGTGTTTGATTACCCCCTATAGCTAACTTAACCATTTCTGCTAGATTATACAGAGGGGTGAGTATTTTCATTGCCACGCTTGTCTATTCTTTTCCTTTCAGGGTCCCTGACCTCATTTTCACAGAATCCCACTCTATGACAAATGTTGCCCAGGCAGGTGTGCTTTTATCAGACCAATTCCACACTAGCAACCAATAATGCAATATACTTTATCTAGGTTGAAAAGACTCTATAGAAATGAGGTGTTCCATAAGACCACCTAGAGGCTGATTGGGTTGTATTACTGTACTCTGCTGACTGCGACTCATTGTCTATCATGAGTAAAGCATAAGGGGATCCTGCCCATCTCTGCTGATCATTGGATTGGTTTGCTTTTAAAAATTGAGAACTTGGTTCACCTGTTTCTCAGGACTCCCCATAGCACATTACCCCCACCTCCCACCCCAGATTCTACTAGTGGAGCTAGGGAGTCTTTACCACACCTGATGGGGTGGTGAGCAGGGGCTTATCCTCCAGAGTGTTAAGTGAAATTCCTCCACTCTTGAACAAGAGGGCAAAGTTGGAGGCCCTACTACCCGGGTCCCTGGCTTTTCTTTCCAAGATGTCTGTAGGAGGTGACCAACCTACACAGGAGCCTACTCATAATACCAGTTCAGATTTGATGTTTGGTTATCTGGTTGGGTTAAGTGTGTCCCTTCTTTTTGATCAATATTGGTTCAGTACATTGTTCGTGTAAGAGGGTCCACTGTCTCCTTATAATTTTGAACACACAAATGGTCCAATCATGGGTCCTTGATTGAGTACAGTTTATTCCATGTCCTCCCCATAATTCCAAAGACAAATGGAATTTATCTCGCCTACACAGTTGGAGAATGAGGATGAGTGTTCATAATTCCAGACCAGGTTGGTTCTGTTTCCTCAGATTGAGTAAGGGATACAAGATCCTGTCATTCTAAGCCTGGGGTGTTGCCATTTGGACTTCTTCAGGTTGAGAAGGTCTATCCACTTTGGGGTTGCTTATCTTCTCGTTGTAAAGTTCCACCCATAGTACATGAATTAAGTTCTTGGTGAAGAGCATACCTGTTCTGATGTAGTGCTGTTCCCCCACTAGGTTATCAATCTTCTATTGACACATCCATGATCTGTGTTTAACATTTTCTTAAATTGAAAATGTATTTCCAATACTTACCTCCTCTCACACAACAGCTACTACCCAACCACCAGGATTTCTTCCTTTGCACATCTAAGCATTAGTCTGATTTTTTTTTCTCGCTTGCTACAGTCTTTCATACTCCACTTTATTGCCCTTGGCAATATTTGTCTCATGACACTCCACCTACTATCCTGGTACTGTAATCACTTTTTCAAGTTTGATGCAATCCACAGTCTCTAACACCAGATCTTAGTGGGGAGGAATGGCAGGAGAGTGTGACAGAAGGTAAACATTATTGGAAATACATTTTCAATTTAAGAAAATGTTAACTTCCAAAACATACTGACCTCCTCTCACACTACAGCTAGAATTCCACATTGATAAGGTAGAGTGAGGGCATTATACATATAGAAAGCATCTCCTTTTGGCTACGTATGATGTATCATAATTAGTATCTGTGGTAATTATTTCAAAATCAATTCTAAATAATAAAACTGCATTTCAAATTAAAACTTTAAGGCATGTTTCTTGTAAGTTGAGAAACCTGAGCCTTAATTCAGTTGTAAGTAAGGGGCTTTTATTTTGTCAATCCCCTGGATTATCTTGTAAACTTCAATAAGATCACCTCTTACCCTTTTCTGAAGAGAAAAGTAGAGATTGTAAACTGTCTTTAAGATAACCCCTTCATCTCTGAAATTGTAGTGGACTTTCTCTAAACCCTTTCCAATAAGTCAATATTTTTTCTTAGATAATGAGACCAAAACTGCACATATTCCAAGTGAGGCCTATCTTGTAATTTGTATAGATACCTCATTTTGACTTCTAATTAATGTATATAAATACACCCTTAAATTTTATTATTTTTATTACTAGTAACAGAACACTGCTTTGATGGCTTGAGTGAGTTATTCACCCATGTGTAAGATTGTACTAAGTCAAACTGTTTATTCCAATGTATATTAAATATGATTCAAATTATAACCTACATACATTACTTGTTACTATTAAAGATCGTTTGTCCATCATGCCAGTTATTTTGTAATATCTCAACATTATCGGTACAGTTAGAAATACCCAAGAGTTCAGTGTCATCACCAAATCTTTCTAATTATGTCCCTATCAATATCATTAATGTAAATAAGAAAAAGGCCCAAATATTCGTGAGGCACTACCAGTATTAAGGGTGTGCAGTTTGAACTCCATTAATAACTTTGCTTTCTATCATCCATTTACTACATAATCCATTTAACTGCGTCTTTCCCCAATCATTACTGATATTTTCTTAGCTAAAATTTTAAGTACACCAAGTTCATGCCCCTTTCCTTTGTCCAGGTAAGTTATTGTCCTAAAAAGTGTTTTAAGTGATTTTATAGAACTTATTTTACCAGACTTAATTTTTCCCATTACAGATTTAAGACCAACTGGTCTATAATTTCCAGTTTTAAAAACTGACTTGTTTTGTGTGTAGTGTTTAGTTTAGCAAGCATGTGCACAGTTTGGAGCTAACCTTATCTTTTATAGCAATAGTAAACATTTCCCTTAAGCTTTAAATATTTTATTGTTTTTAGTTTAGTGAATAGTCTTTATATAGAATGGAAATTTCTCTTTAGTTAAAATAGCAAAACATAGACTATATATTATGTAATTTTTAAACTGTCTTGTGTGCCAACAAGGTTCAGTTTTATGCACAAGTATTTTGGTAAGGTATAAAATCTTGTTATGATGTAAAGAAATGGCTAAAATTGATGTAACAGAAATATGTAGTAAATGTTTGAGCTAAATAATCTTCAAACACTAACTGTTTCTTCATTTTGCTTTATAATACTGTAGCTGCATTAAATTTTTTTTCTTGTATTAGGTAGATGCTAATTGTTTGAAGATTAAAAATTTTTTTGGTCATTGCTATATATCTAGTATGTTTCTGTATTATTTGATCAGTTTTTTCTGCTTGTAAGGTGACCACATACATATATAATTTGACTGTTGAATATATATGTGCTTGTCTTTGTTGCAATATATTTATTTCTGTATTTGATCAGTACCGCTTTTATGGAGAACCAGTGGTAAAAGCATGTGTGGCAAGTGGAACACATCATCTGGATGTCAGTGGAGAACCACAGGTTTGTTGTTTTAGAATATTGTTAGATCTTACTATATCATAAATATTGTAGTGTATGTTCTTGCAGTATTAACATGGCGTTTTACTTTTGACATTAACATTGAGAAAGGCTCCTGTATAGATTCATAATAGGAAGTGACCTGTATTTGCAAATAATGAAAATAAGCTTGATTCAAATTTGTTATACATTCTTTGCATATTCATGCAGTGCTTGTTCTTTTCTCAAAACTTTAACTTTTTTTTTCCATATATGGGTGAAGAACAAAGCTGAGTGAGTTTGTGAAATTTGCTAATCAATTATTCCAAAGGCTCATTAATTGATTACATTCATGAGCTGGTTAAAACACAACTGGAAAAAAATTTGCCATAAATTTTATTCAAAGATAATAAAAACATTTACTATGTGACAAATTACTAATGTTGAAATAAACACGTGGTTGACATTTTGTTTGTTTTCAAAATATGCAATAAATACCCCAAATGACTTGTGTAAATCGAACAATGAAAACATGTTTTACAATCACTGATAACACTGATGCTCTTACTTAAGACATATTATGATTCAATTATATAGTGTCAAGTCGCCATTTAGCCAATTTGTGTTTGGATAACATAAATGTAAAAGTATTCAATAAATACCAATTTGAATCATTGGAATTTATTTTCTTTGTCTACCATACTTGCCAAACTGATCTGAAGTTTGTCTTCTAATCCTACGAAATTTCTGTGGTTTTCAAACAGATGCAATATAAAACTCAAGAATGTTCACATGGATTAGAAACTGTAGCTACTATGGTGTGTAAAGTAATCCTTCCCCAATCCAGTCATATTTAAACTCTCATTATAACTGTTTTCAAGGATGTTTTATTAGTAAATGATCAAACTACTTTATGGCATTACAATAGGGTTGCAACCGAGGTCTGTACAAAAACTAAGCAAAAAAAAAAAAGGAAACATTTAAACTGAAGAAATAGGTTCTTAGCAAAAAGTTATTCTTTGGGATGGGCAGAAAAAAAAAATTAAAGAAAAAATGTACAAGTACATTGTTTACAGGCAAAACTCCCCAGGTCTGTACAGAACTAAATTTTAATGAATTACACTAAATAAATGTTTGAAAACAATACAATATTGATCTAAAGTATTTAAATTAAAATTGTTCAAGTAGTTAGAATTAATGTATAAAATTTATTTCAAAAATCTTTGGAAGAAGGGCTTTGAAAAGTCAGAAAGTAACCCATAAGCTGAAAATAAACTTATTTCATACAATTTTCAAAATTTTATAAGTTAATAAACTTTATTACAATTATTAAAATTGCAAAAAGACCACGTCATGCACAGTTAGACCCATCCATTGCAAAAGGGTTAATGGAGTATTTCCTTCATTAACAGAAAGTAAATTAGTTTGCAAGTACTTATTTTAAACATTTTTCAACTATAAAACAAACATTAATCATCAGAAAGGTTTTATATAATTAAATTTTCAAAACTTTAAGTAACTATATTATTATTATTATATTATTTCAATGAAATTGGCATCAAAATGTTGCTTATATCTCAAATTTTGATATTATGTATGTTTTAATTTCTTAATTCAAGAGAAAATATAAATATAAAGCTGAATATTTATTTGTGTTTCACATAGCACCTCCTCATGTCTTGTTGCTCAGTTTATATTTTTTTACGCCTACTGTATATATGTCTACGAGTGGTTAACAATTATAAACATGAATTTTAGATTCTGGTAAGCTGGAATATAAATTTAAAACCTCCCACCACTTTGATTTGCTGATATATCATTGTATCTAGCAAATCAACTAGTGACTTCTCCTCCTACACCATTCTTTCCAAACATCTTGTTTAGTTCCACCAACTTTTCTTAAGGGTCTGTTTATAACCAACAGAAAGAACAAGTTGTGCTTCACATGATTCTGACAGTTGTTTGTAAAGAGCTTGGAAGAGAAAATAAATAATTTTGACAAGACTGTTGAATGGTGATGACCAAGTTGTTGCTCTGAATGGAGAAATTTATTTTAACACGGATATTCTTTATTTATAAACCCAAGCAAGTTACAGATGTCTTGGGTTTAATGAAATATACCTTGATTCTGTGTGTGTGTGTGTGGATAACATAAATGTAAAAGTATTTATTATTTCAAGGTAAGTCAGTGACAACTCAAGCAAGAATATTTTCCGAAGAACTGAATGAGTGTGATAAGTAGTATTAAAACTAAAGTTTTTATTGGTTGATGAATAAGTGCTGAAAAGAAAAATAGGATTTTATAAGGATGTACTCAAATAACATCTTTATACACCTATGCTGCTAAATTCCAAACACCTCAAAAGGATTACCAATATTCAAAGAATTGCAATGTTTATTGTATTAGCACTGAACCAACATAAATGTTTTGACAGGTTCAAAGTGCAGTGTTGTTACTCTGGAAAAGTCTTGTTGTGAACACTGTAGGATACATACATAAGCCGATAAATTACACATCCTGTTGTTGGCATAAACGTTTTCACTGATTGTAAGTGGAGTGTGATTACTCTGAATTTTCCAAGAAAACCTTTTAGCATGTATAACCTGATACATAAGATATCCTGTTCTCGGCACAGAGGTCGAATCTACTATTTTTTCGTATGTGCTTTGTTGCTTTCAGTAGTATTGTATTACGAGGGTGTCACGTAAATAGTCTAATGGTACAAGGGCAATTTATTGGTTTATTTTCAGCGGGGTTCTACTTTAGTCGTTGGCAGTAAAATAAATGTGAAATGTTTAGGAGTTCAAACTCGTAGGAGAAGTACTTTGAAACTTCGTTACCAATAATAACCAAAAAAAGGCATAGCTGGTGTTATTTCTAATTTTACAATTTGTCTTTTCATTATACTTTTTAGGATTTGTCTACAGGCTAAAGACTCAAGTATATCATTAAATAATTGATAAGATAGTTTTACTGAAAACAAATGTTTGAAATGTATTTAGGAAGTTTTAATAATTACACAAGAAATTTAAGATTTTTTGGATGAAGAATAATATTTTTAATCATAACATGAAAATCACTTCCACTCGGACTAGTAACGGAACAGACTTTATATATTCACAGACAAATCTTTAGTAAAAAATACTTCATTAAAAATTTGATTTTTTGTGTACAAAAGACTTGTAATGTTTACTAAAGGTGTACCAAATTTTTGAAGACTCTCATACTGAATTATAAGTTATAATATAAAGATCTGGTGTGCAAACGTGTATACGAAGTCGTGTATATTATACTGAGCCCATTGTGAAAAGGTTAACTGGCATTTAATACAGGCCTATGGCTGGAACTATTCTTGTTTTTAAAATCTTTTTTTTTAAGGTTATAAAATTTTTTAACTAGATATAAAAAGTTATTTTAAAATATCCAAGTACCCTCAGAAGAGCACCATTTAAATGATGTACATTGAGACATTTATAATGGGGGGAAAAATACCAAATATATCTGAGTAGAGATTGCTAGTAGATACAATTTAACACAAGTTTCATACAGTTTTGAAGATGAAGTTTGATTTTATATGAGCATAAATAATCACATGGTGTTGAACAGAATGTAAACAATTGTATTTAGACAACCAAACATGTGCACACTTTAGGTACATCTTTACTGTAGAAAAGAATAGTAAATCTAATGTGTGCCATTTCACTTGTTACAGGTAGAGGAGATTAAGGTTTTGAGTATAAAATTAGTCATTATTTTGTATGCTATAATATTGTAGTGTAAAATGTGCCAGTTAATTATTTTTAATTAGCAAAATGTTAAATACACATGTATTTGATTCTCTATCCTTATTTTTAATCATTGCACATTAAGTCAAATTGTTTATTGTGGAAAAATTAGGGTTGCAATGTAGGATTTTTCAAGCTTATTCTGTTGTTGAATTTTATTACACTGCATTGTACACTTTTCTCAGAATAGTTCATGCAATTCTGTCAAATCAAGAATTGTTACTCAGTTTTTAGTTTCATATCTGATCTTTTAACAAATGTGTTGTACATTTCCTTTTTATAGCATATTTATATACCATAAGCCCCATGAGTTATAATAGGCTGAAGTGTTTGTTTCTAATACAGTTGCCCGAATAGACTTTCTTTTAAATTACACAAGGAAAATATTGTGATTGATTTATAGGCACCAAGTCAAATCCTCTTCTTAATAACACTTAAGAGTTTATTATTGAATTATTGTCAATTAGGACATGCCATATGTTTTTAATATAAACTACCAAAACTCAAGTTAATAAAATATTGAAATTATTAAAGTAAATAATATATATAGATTGTAATATTTTTATATTCTTTCTCAGTAGTATGTAGGCATTACTAAGCTTCTACACTCTTAAGATGTAGTGAAAGGAAACTACTTTTTGAATTGTACATACAATTATGTACTTTTAATAAATTAATATTATCCACAAGATAAAATGAACCCAAGTTTTCCAAGCAGTTTTCTAGATATTTATGCCACATATATATCTAAATACAGAAGTTTTACCAATGGTTCGTTACAAAGTTTGACAGTTTTGTCTGTAATTTATTATCCATATTACTAACATTGTCTTATTTAAGTATTTCACACTTGACAGTGCTGTTTCCAATTCTTTACATGTAATGTTTTTGAGAAAAGAAATGAAGACACGTATTGCTCAATATTCATCTTCCTTTATTGAATCATTAATTTTTAGCAGAAATACTTCATTAGAAATTGATTTTTACTGTGCAAAAGACTGAATGTTTATTGAAAGTTTGCCAAATTTCGTGAAAATACATAAATAATGGGTAAAAATGTTTATTGATAAACATAAAAATGTGGCTATGTTCTCTGGATATATTTTTAAAGAAAAGATGTAAAGTGTTCAGGGTTATTATTATTTTTTTTTATCCAGGGTCAGTGGAGTTATTTCAAAAACAATTTTCTCTAAGTCTCATGAAGGCTATATTGTAGTCACGGCCTGTTTATATGTATTGATCATGGAGCGTTTTTATATTATTCTGTATGTTAAAGTATATTGTAGAAGCAAATTTATAATTTCATCTTTGTTTTGTTATTTTAATAAAATTAATATAGCATTTAAAAGTTGTAAGTATCAATTTATTGACCTTGTTATTGTGAAATACTTGAGTTGATTACTTTCATGAAATTATTAGACATGATTGTAATTTTGAGTTCTAGATAGTTGGAATAATTAAACATTGATAGTCAGAAGCATGATTATTTTAATGGCATTAACCCATTTAATCAATGCATAAAGGTAATTGAGTTAAATCACCCAGCTCTAGTGAAGGTTAATATTTTGACCATATCCAAATTAAATCAACCTTGTCTGACAGCTTTTTCTTTAAAGCATTCTTAAAATATTTCATTTTTAGGGATAGGAGGTCTGGAAGTGAATTAAATCCTGAAATACTATTATGGGAAAGATGGAACTTAACAACTAATGGAGATTTGCGAGTGTTTGAAATCATAAGATTTATTTTGTTTGGTCACTTGTCTGAAGTTATGATTTTTTTTTCATTAGTACTTGGAAAAAATGCAACTAAAATACTTTGAGGAAGCAAAGGAAGCTGGCATCTATGTCATTGGAGCATGTGGTTTTGATAGCATTCCAGCTGAAATGGGAATTTCCTTCTTGAAACAAAAATTTGATGGTGAGATTAAATCATTTTTGTTATATTCCTAGTTCTGTGGGATTAATCTCATAAAAGATTAGTTTATTATATGATCAGATGGCAGAAAATAATGTTAGTCTTTACAAAACTAATAAAGGAATTGTAACTCACTAGCCCTGTTACAGAAAGTTATTTAATGAGGAGCTCTGTATTGTGGTCAGTAATAATAATGATATAAATATTGTATTAAGTATAGTTGGAAGATTTGGCTTAAGTGTATAGGATTGTTATTCTCTCTAAGTAAGATATTGTAATATCTCTTGATTTGTATGAATAGTAATAACACTTACTCATTTTTTAAAGTAAATACTTTTTTGAGTTTATGCAAGTACTGGTAATTAACTGAGCTGAGGACATTTAGTTTGTGTGTAAATTTAAATATGAGGCAAACCCCACGATATTTTATTCTGTAACATTTGTAGTTTTTCTATATTTTAGTCTTTCAAATGTTATCAGAATACATTTGTATTAAAAACCTAGTTTTCATAATTCTCGACTTTGAGCTATCCAAAAAATGACATAATGAGAGATTGTGTTTTGAAACTGCAGTTCCTAGTTTGTTGTGGTATGGAACATGTTATTTAACATAAGTAAATGTTTAATACTTTAAGATGTGACTTTTTTTGTTTTTTCCATTAAAATACTAGAAAAGAACAACTAAGAAATTAAATATTTATTTGCTAAATTTAGATATTCAATTGATTGATAAAAAAAAAGATAATATAAATTTTGAACTATCTGAAAAATTTGAAGTAGTTATAAAATAAGCTATACTTTAAATATTCTGATAAAGGCCTTGGAAGATTAAATTATTAAGTCAATAATGATAGTACTCTGTCAAATGTAAGTTCTGAAAAATTTGGAGTAGTCATAAACTAAGCATTTTGATATTTTAGTAAAGACCTTGGATTGTTAAACTTAACTAAATATTTTGCAGTTTGATTCTGATAAAAGTTAGCACACAGGATCGCACAAAAGGTGTAATGAGTATAAAAAAAAGACCTGAAAATGAAGGCTAGTGAACTATACAAAAGCGCTTGAGTTTTGGGTCTTTTTTTTTTTTAAGTTCATCTTCCAGTCCATAATGACTGACACACACACACACACACACACACACACACACACACACACACACACACACAC